CAACCACATAGAACAACCCAACCAAACAGAACACCACGAAACGAACACACCCTGGCTCAACATACAAAGTCCCGGAGCCAGAGCGTGACAGGTGGGCTAATCATCAAACAAGAGGAGAAGCAATCTGGGATGAATATGGCTGCCAAATAGAAGTTAACAAAGGAGACACTAGTTGGGAAATTACCTTTAAGGAATTGGCTCAAGAAAATAATGCAAAGTACATATTGGAAATAGTTAGTGTTAAGGGGTTAGAAGGGAATAGTATGATAACAATGGATATTAATCCTATTTCCAAACACCAATCTAGACAGGAAAAAGAACCTGAAATAGTTAATGTAACTATGACCACTACCCAAGGACCACTAATTACTATAGCAGTAGAACCAACAAAGACAGGATTAGAAAAAATAGGAACAAATGGGTTTTTTCAAAATGTATGGGATTCTTTAACAAACTGGGGAAGTCAGGAAAATAGACAATCTACCTCAGCCCCAACAGTAATACCGAAAGTAATAATAGCATCACCAAAAATAGAAAGGCTATGGGAGGGAGCCATGCAAAATGATTGGTACAAATGGGCACAATATTCAGCTAAAATAATTAATAGAAAAGCTAATGTGCTCCTTCTCCATTAAAATAATTGATAGTAATACCAAGTCCACACAGTTACAAGGACTGTGCTAACTTTAAAAGGAGCTACTGTCATCTTAAAAGAGGAGAAATGCCCTACTGTCCTGCAGAATGTTTATCATTTTTGGGAAATCCCTATCATTACAGATTCTATAATCAAGTAGGATGGGGAGAGTGGTGTAAAAAATTAGATACCAGAATAGAGCCGAGGAAAATGGAAGCACCGGAAAAATACTGTATAGACTATAATCAAAATTATGAATGCTACAATAAAACAGATGGGGAGCACGATATGGGAAAATTTAAGGGAAAGTGTGAGATCATATGGCACCTAAATAATGATATGTCCTGGAATGCAGATACCCCCCACAGAGCAGTTTATCAGGCAGCAGGATCAAGTACTGGGGCAATAGCTACAAATAGAGGGCCGGGTGACCCTGGGGAATGTGAGAAGCAAACACTGGCAATGCCATTGATTTCTCCTTATGAGGATCAATCGGTGGCAGTGGCAGATTTATTTTGGGTATGTGGAGGACAAAGGATTAGAGCTACTTTGCTTAAAGGATGGAAGGGAGTATGTGCTAGAGTACAAATGCTTCAGGAGGTGGTTATATCGGAGTGGGAGGTAGACCAAACAACAAATAGGGATGCACAGAATAATAATAAAAGGGTAAAAAGATCATATGAACATGACCCCAATGTATATTTGGATGCAATAGGTCAACCCAGAGGAATTCCAAATGAATATAAGGCAAGAGATGAAATTAAAGCAGGATTTGAATCAATATTTGTCTGGATTTCAACCAACAAAAACCTAGAATGGATCAATTATATTTATTATAATCAACAAAGGTTTATTAATTACACAGACTCTGCATTATCAGCTTTAGGAGAGCAAGTACAGGCTACCAGAATAATGGCATGGCAGAATAGGCAGGCTCTAAACTGGCTATTAGCGGAAAAAGGTGGAGTTTGTGTTATGTTTGGAGATGAATGTTGTACTTTTATCCCCAATAATACTGCCCCGGATGGTTCTTTCACTGAAGCAATGACTAAACTCAAGGGACTACGAAAAGAGATTAAGGATAATGCTGGGTATGATGCTCATGTTTGGGACTGGATGGAATTAACTTTGGGAAAATGGGGTGCAATGTTTACAAAAATGGCAATAATGATAGGAATATCACTTGTAGTAATGGGAGTAGTGTTTTGTTGTATACTACCTCTGTTAAAATCACTTTTGATTCAAACCACAGTAAAACAAATGACTGTACAGACAAGTGTTACTAGTTCAGCCAAAGAAATACACCCAGTTCAGGGAGCTCCAGGACAGTATGTTAATAAATATGGGAAATCTTGTAATGTTAAAGGAGGACCAATGGACTGTCCATTTGGGAATCCTGAATGTCTGTATGGAGTTGTTCCTGGGGGTGGATGGGCCTGCCATGGTTACAAAGCCCAACAGGAAAATGTGGAGGTTAATTTAGAGGAAAACCTTGCAGACTTGTATCCAATACCTGACTGGGCTATGGGTCCTCATCAGGATGGGTCAAGTAATGAGGAAGATATATTGGTTTAAATATATGCGTGTGAAATGAAACCACATATGGCAAGGCTAAGAATAAGTAAATGCACATGCTTACATTCATTTAAAAATTAATCTTTGTATTATTTGGGACATTGTTGGAATGTCCCATAGGGGGGATTATATAGGATTATTTTATGTATCATTATGGCACATGTAGGGAGATGCCAAAGGTAAAATATAATAAACATGTTTGATATTTTATAATCCAGATACATGCTTAAATAAGGAATATAGACATGTAGTATATGCTGTGTTTTAAATGAATGCATGTGTTCTTTCACAGAGGCTCTCAACAGTGTGCATTACATTAGTTTTTTAAGAAGGGGCCTAAGCCACGCAGCCAATAGAATGATAGAATGAGAGGCTTCATATAGAAAAAAAAGCATTCATGACATTTTGGAGTGGACATTGTGTGACGGCTGGACGTTGAAAAAGAAGGGTGGTGCAGAACTAAAATAAGTTAGGAATGTACGCATGTTTTTTCATTTGTGTGTATGTATAAAAGGGGTGTCTAAGCCAGAGAGAGGGAGTTGTTCCATGGAGCAAGCTCGGCTTTGTTATGCAATAAAGTCTAATTATTGGATTCACAAGCTCCGGTGTCTTGAGAGATATTTTTGAGTTGATTATCTATTAGTCAAATATTTCTACAACAACGTCTGGGTCTGGACTGGAACCGCAGACTGGAGCTGGACCCGACGACGGTGGATCGAACTGCTCTGGCTCCGGAGTGGAGCCGCTGACCGGAGCTGGATCAGGCACCGGTGGAGCAGACTGCTCTGGCTCTGGAGTGGAGCGGCTGACCGGAGCTGGACTGGACCCCGGTGGAGCGGATTGCTCTGGATCCGGAGTGGAGCAGCTGACCGGTGCCGGACCAGGCACGGGCCGTGCCGGACTGGACACACGCACCACTGGCTTGGTGCGGGGAGCAGGAACAGGCCGGACCGGGCTGGCGACGCGCACCACTGGCTTGGTGCGAGGGACAGGAACAGGCTGAACCGGGCTGGCGACGCGCACCACTGGCTTGGTGCGAGGGGCAGGAACAGACCGGGCCGGGCTGTCGTTTTACGTCTCATCAGACTAGCCATAAAGTTAGTCAGAATTGTACCAGGCTAGATACAGTTTCATGGACATGTTTTAGTATTTAAACATATTGTTTTGTAGGGTGGGGTGACAGATGTCAACTGTCATTTAGATATTCTAAAATGTATTGAGTTGTGTATTTATTTAATTCACAGTGAAAGTACTTTTTCTCAGAAAGTTCCCTATGAAATAAGCAGAGAAATAGGTGTTACTGTAAGCAGATCTGAATGGTACTGTGCTGTTAAAACTGATAGTCAGCTTAGTCATGCTACTGTAAACTAAAAAAATAAAAGTGCTCCAGCATGAATGTGTCTAGCCTGGTCCCTACGTGTTTGTATTGCCTTGTGTGGCTCTGTTATTTTGTGCTCCAGGATCCTGTTGTGTACGGCAGCTTGTCTTGGTTGAGAGCTTCAAGTTCCTTGGTGTCCACATCACCAACGAACTATCATGGTCCAAACACACCAAGACAGTCGTGAAGAGGGCACGACAAAGCCTATTCCCCCTCAGGAGACTAAAAAGATTTGGCATGGGTCCTCAGATCCTCAAAAAATTCTACAGCTGCACCATCGAGAGCATCCTGACTGGTTGCATCACCGCCTGGTATGGCAACTGCTTGGCCTCTGACCGCAAGGCACTACAGAGGGTAGTGCGTACGGCCCAGTACATCACTGGGGCAAAGCTCCCTGCCATCCAGGACCTCTATACCAGGCGGTGTCAGAGGAAGGCCCTCAAAATTGTCAAAGACTCCAGCCACCCTAGTCATAGACTGTTCTCTCTGCTACCGCACGGCAAGCGGTACCGGAGTGCCAAGTCTAGGTCCAAAAGACTTCTCAACAGCTTCTACCCCCAAGCCATAAGACTCCTGAACAGCTAATCATGGCTACCCGGACTATTTGCACTGCCCCCCCACCCCATCCTTTTTACGCTGCTGCTACTCTGTTAAGTAAGTATTTATGCATAGTCACTTTAACTCTACCCACATGTACATATTACCTCAACTACCTCAACTAGCCGGTGCCCCCGCACATTGACTCTGCAACGGTACCCCCCTGTATATATAGCCTCCCTACTGTCACTTTATTTTACTGTATATATAGCCTCCCTACTGTCACTTTATTTTACTTCTGCTCTTTTTTTTCTCAACACTTTTTTTGTTGTTGTTTTATTCTTACTTTTTTGTTTAAAATAAATGCACTGTTGGTTAAGGGCTGTAAGTAAGCATTTCACTGTAATGTCTGCACCTGTTGTATTCGGCGCATGTGACCAATAAAATTTGATTTGATTTGATTTGATTTGAACTCCACCAGTGATTTGTCCAACACCTACACTACTGCTCTGCTGGCCTACACCTTTACGCTGGCAGGGGACATGGAGACCCGGGCCCAGCTTCTGCAGCACCTGGACACGATCGCATTACAAGAGGGTGAGCCATATCCTGGTCCAAGATCTGTTTGTGGTGTCTTGCCTTGATTGAGCTTACCTGGGCAATGGAGCCAATGGAGTAATCCCAAACATGCAAACCCTCCGCCCATCTGGCAAAAGTATTTTAAAGAACAAAAATCCTATTTGAACTCAGGTGTCATAAAATTATATTTTTGTCATAAAATTAATTGGGTAGGTCAGAGAAGAACATTGTAGTCTGTATAATGATGAATAAGATAGCCCTATTCTCTGGTGTGTGTGTGTTCCTCATCCCTCAGGGGGTCTCCTGCACTGGACTCAGACCTCCTCAGAGACCTCAGCCTCCCTGGCAGTGGAGATCAGCTCCTATGTTCTGCTGGCTTCCCTCAGTGCCTCTCCTCTGTCTTCCTCTAACCTGGGCTATGCCTCCCGCATCATCAGGTGGCTGGTGAGACAGCAGAACGCCTATGGAGGCTTCTCCTCCACACAGGTATACTTCCAAAACACCTCTGTTCCAAAATGGCTCCCTGTGCTGTGCACTAGTAGTGAGGCATTATTACCTTGACTTTTACCAGACCACAGGCTTGTATGTGCTTATTTTCATGGCAAGCCTGGTGAGGCTAACTTCCACTGAAATGGAGTCAAGAAATCATAATGGATGGAAATGGGAAATAGTCACTCTAGGAACTGACCAATGTAAAAATCGATCCTTTATGTAAAATTTGGTATTTTCTTCATTTTGAACAGATTGTTCTGTGGTCTGTTTGTGTGTGTGTTTAGAACACAGTTGTGGCCCTCCAAGCCCTAGCTCTCTACTCCACCAGGGTGTACAGTAGAGAGGGTGCCAGCACAGTGACAGTACAGTCTCCCAGTGGGGTACAGCACCTCTTCAAAACAACAAGCTTCTCTACCAGGAGAGGTCGATGTAGGACACCGAATGGAAGTACAGCGTGGAAGTGAAGGGCAGTGCTTGTGCCTCAGTGCAGGTCAGTGAACACAAATCTATCCTCCCAATCCTATGGTGGCAAAATACAATTTTATCTATCACTAAAGCTACAGTCTGGGAATGATTTTTTGTTTTGTTTTAGCAAAACAGCAGCCCTGTGCCACTTGATTTGGTATACAGCTGAGGGATATGGCGGGGGAAATGTAACTCCTCGTGAATCATTGTTATATTCTTTAAGCCTCAATGGTTATAATTCAAGAATTGAAGTAACCATCATACAGATAGCCATATCCCAGACTGGGGCTTGAAGAAGCCTCTCCTTAATAAGTTCTAATTTATGTAATGTTTAATATACTAGCTTATAAAATATATATTTTTAGACAGGATGGTTTCCCTGACTTCTTCTTCCCTCTTTCCCAGGTGGCGCTCCACTACAACATTCCTACTCCTACTGACAGCACAATGCTCAGTATCCAGGTGAAGACAGAGGTTGACTGCAACAGCAACTCTTTGAGACCCAGAGTCACGCTGAAACTCCAGTGTCAGTAAGAATGAATTACACATTTGGATTCACAGAAGCATTCTTTCAATCAGTTTATCGATGACACTCCAAAGTGTTATTTTGGAGCATGTCTTACAGAATGGACTTGGCCCAAAATACTTGGTATCCTATTGGTTATTTAATTTCTAGTTTGTACCTAGGCTTGGATCAGTAACAGTAATAAAACATATCTGGTATTTTTATGGCTAAAATAATATAATTATCCATTCATTTGATTATTACAAGCACTTGTCAAAATCAAACTTTGATATCACAGGCATCTCTTTGCTTTCACAAATATCATGGAAAGGAGCTGACCACCAATATGATTATAGTGGATTTGAAAATGCTGTCTGGGTTTGACCCAGAGTCTCTGGGGGAGGGTGAGTTTTTGTGGTAACATACATTTATGGTGTTACCTGTGACCTTTTTACATGTAGCTCTTGCCTCTCATCTGTGAACCTTTCTGAAACATACTTTTTTGGTCCATGCAATATGAACAATCAATAAATGGGATGTCTTCACAGCTGAGCGGTTCACTTTTAGTGGATCGTGTCGATACTAAAGATGACCATGTGTTAATGTACTTGAGAGAGGTGAGACCAGTTTGCACACTCAATATAATGGAATTAATCTGAAATAACATACTTTATATATTGACGTACTTCTGGTAACATACATCTACTCTGAAATTATTTGTGTGGAATGTCCTTCAGTCAGAAAAGCTGATAGGAAACTTCAGCTTAGAGCGTTGTAAATAAATGTTTTTTTTCCTCCCAACAGTTACATCACTATTTCCTTTCAACCACACCCTGGACATCATACAGGAGCTCCCAGTACAGAATCTAAAGCCAGCGGTGGTCAAGATCTATGACTACTATCAGCTAAGTAAGTTTATATCTAACCCTCCCCAAAACATGTTTTCCCCTCTTCTTTTTAGTAACATTTGGTTAACTTGTTTGGTTAATTTACTGAGATTTATCTGTCTTATTGTTGTATTCAGGTGACCAGGCAGAGACATAATGTCTTCCCTTGCAAGTAGGGGTTACAAACTGGTTACCTATTTTTACATCTTGAATTATTGGTAATTTTAGATACTGTAGCTGACCCATGTACTATATGTAACATTCGTTATTTAGTTAACTGGGTCAATATTCCTTTTACCTAAATGCTGGTCAGTTTGTTGAAGCGTTCATTCCTTACATCTATCTATTCATTGTATTTGCCCCTCTGCAGATGTAAGAAGAAAATGACATTCACAGAAGTCACACCTACAGCCCTTGAGACATCTTTCAAGCTCTAAAGTAAATGAAGTTCAAAACAGTAGTCTTGAAAAAAAATCATCCAGATTGTTTTGTGTGTACGTTTTGATGTCACACTGTGGCAAGAAATGAGTTCCAAGATGTAGGCTCAGGAGACAAGGTGAATATTGAAAGGATTTTTGTAAGACAGTGGGTCCCTTCCTGGGGTACTAGTACCCATGGGGGTACCTGGCCTTTCAACAGGGGATACTTGGGAAGACTCATAGGCAGATCAATATGTGAATGGGGGAACAGTAAATAAAGAGAACCACTATACTAGATCACATCAAAGGGTAAAAAACTATAGCCTACCTTCTGGAACAAATTATTAAGTTCCAGAGAGCTGCAATGTGCTGTTAATTGATGTTGCCAACTATACGAAGGTGTGCAAATGTTCTCTAAATTTTGCTCAAAGCTTTTGGTTCTAAGCTTTTTTCTTCCTCCATCTGTAATCATCATGGCCCACCCTGTAGTAATAATCAAGGCGTGGTTCTCTTATTTCTCATCAGGGAATGGGATCCAGGAAATCCACTCACTCTAAATCCCATCAACAAACATCTTATAAAGGGATGTGTCCTGTCCTGTCCTGACGTAATGAGTCCTGGCTATTAATCTCCATTATGAATATCTCCTAATGCACTAATGACAATTTATTGAGCTAATTGTGTGGATAAGGCATGGAAAGCTGTGGTCGAGGAAACTTCATACAGGAAACGCCACGTATTAGTTAAAACATTTATTAGAAATATATGCAATTCGTTGTCTTGGTGTAAGGCTCTGCTCCTTCAGGGTAGCTCACTGCCAGAGTGTGCATCATGTTAAGATAATAATTACAGTCAGTGAGCAAGGTACGCTGTACCAATCACCCTGCAGGAAGGAAACACAGAACCAAACAGGTGGAGGCTAGGGTGGTTGCTGGAAAAAGAAACCGCATACTATCGAGCAACCAACAGCAGTAGAGGAATTCTGAGTCGGAAACTCTAGCATCTTTCTAGGGCGGTGACTTTCCAACCTAAAGATCACTGACGCCATGATTTGACCTTGTTTTTTTTACAAGTTCCCAGTTGTCTTGAAAGCACCAATCGTAACTAGCTTGCTTACAATTTCGGATAACGAGTGAGCGTTTCAGTGTGACGAAGACTCACTAGGTACCGCGGGATCTCGCCAAGATCGCGCTGTGAGCACACTTTTCTCCGAACTCTGTATCAAAACTTGGTGAATTTGTGAAACTCCTACAAATTAGCTATAGTTCTGTCCTTTGACTGTTTAACAATTGTATATTATTAAAGACTAAGTTTAATCTTATTTTGTCGAGTTCTGCCCTGATGAAACGTAAAGATAGACGAAAGGCTAGCGTTGACACAGCATCACGTGGAATGGACATGTCCAGACATGCTCCTGAAGCTCAGGCTAATGTTCTAATCGCTAGCTGCAACGATTATGCTGTTGGCCCAGTGTATACTCCCCAACTTTCTCTTATGGACAACGAGGACTTTCCCCCCTCCAGCCATCCCTCCAAGCAAACCTCCTGCCTCTAAAAAAGGCAAGTCTGACTAACTTCAACTTGGCTGACATCACCACGCTTTCACAATTAATCGACAGTAGAACTGATGCCCTGAATAAAAGTTTTGGGTAGCAACGAGGTCGACTTCACATGTGCAGAGATAAAAGATATGAAAGAAAAGGTTACCCACCTTAAAAAGTGCATCCAGAATGAAGAAAGGCGCACTGATGCGTGCGAGAGACGGATCACCGAAATAGAGAGCTACTGGAGGTGTTGGAACTTGAAACAGCAGGGGGTCCCTGAGGTGGAGATGCAAGATGTACGTCAGGAGACCATAAGGATCTGCCAAGTTATTCTCCCGGAGGAGAAGACCAAACTCCCTGAGGTGATTGACACCGTTCACCGTCTCAGCTCCAAGCATCTGAACAACTCCAAGCCCAGAAGCATCATCATGCAGTTTACGAAGCGGGTCTACAGAGTTGCAGTGTGGAAGGCAGTGTAGAAGTCCACCTACCTGCAAACCAACTGACTGAAGTTTGCTGAGGATTTCGCCAAGGCTGACAGAGAGCGGAGGGACATGCTGTGGCCAGCAATTGAGGCAGTGTGCAAGGAGGGGAAGATGGCATATTATGCCGGGGCACATGCTTTCATCAATGGAACTGACATTTTTCCCTTCCTGAGAACATAAAGTTATTGCTGGAATGTTACATTCATCCTAATCCTATGCACATGTCTGAGCATTTCACCTTTTGGAGTGTGGACAATGAAGGCATTTATTTTTGTATTCTGTTTCTGATATTTTTATTTCCTTTTATATGAAAAGGCCACTTCAGGAGTATTTGTTTTGCTGACTGAAAGCTAATAAATGTTTTATATAACTGATTGACAGCTAATTATTGGTATATATTTTTTTTACTCATTTAGGTCTATGCATATGGTGCGTGTTAAGCTATGGTTAAACCCAGCACTCAGAGAAACAAAATGTGTCTGCTCAAACGGTCAGAAACAGACTCCATGAGGGTGGTATGAGGGCCTGACGTCCACAGGTGGGGGTTGTGCTTACAGCCCAACACCGTGCAGGACGTTTGGCATTTGCCAGAGAACACCAAGATTGGCAAATTCGCCACTGGCGCCCTGTGCTCTTCACAGATGAAAGCAGGTTCACACTGAGCACGTGACAGACGTGACAGAGTCTGGAGACGCCGTGGAGAACGTTCTGCTGCCTGCAACATCCTCCAGCATGACCGGTTTGGCAGTGGGTCAGTCATGGTGTGGGGTGGCATTTCTTTGGGGGGCCGCACAGCCCTCCATGTGCTCGCCAGAGGTAGCCTGACTGCCATTAGGTACCAAGATGAGATCCTCAGACCCCTTGTGAGACCATATGCTGGTGCGGTTGGCCCTGGGTTCCTCCTAATGCAAGACAATGCTAGACCTCATGTGGCTGGAGTGTGTCAGCAGTTCCTGCAAGAGGAAGGCATTGATGCTATGGACCGCCTGTTCCCCAGACCTGAATCCAATTGAGCACATCTGGGACATCATGTCTCGCTCCATCCACCAACGCCACGTTGCACCACAGACTGTCCAGGAGTTGGCGGATGCTTTAGTCCAGGTCTGGGAGGAGATCCCTCAGGAGACCATCCGCCACCTCATCAGGAGCATGCCCAGGCGTTGTAGGGAGGTCATACAGGCACATGGAGGCCACACACACTACTGAGCCTCATTTTGACTTGTTTTAAGGACATTACATCAAAGTTGGATCAGCCTGTAGTGTGGTTTTCCACTTTAATTTTGAGGGTGACTCCAAATCCAGACCTCCATGGGTTGATAAATTTGATTTCCATTGATAATTTTTGTGTGATTTTGTTGTCAGCACATTCAACTATGTAAAGAAAAAAGTATTTAATAAGATTATTTCATTCATTCAGATCTAGGATGTGTTATTTTAGTGTTCCCTTAATTTTTTTGAGCAGTGTATATACTGAGATCATGTGACAGATGATGTGACACTTAGATTGCACACAGGTGCTTTATTTAACTAATTATGTGACTTCTGAAGATAACTGGTTGCACCAGATCTGATTTTGGGGCTTCATAGCAAAGGGGTGAATGCATATACAAGCACCACTTTTCCGTTATTAATTTTTTAGAATTTTTTGGAACAAGTTATTTTTTTCATTTCACTTCACCAATTTGGACTATTTTGTGTATGTCCATTACATGAAATTCAAATAAAAATCAATTTAAATCACAGGTTGTAATGCAACAAAATAGGAAAAACGGCAAGGGGGATGAATACTTTTGAAAGGCACTGTAAAATAAAATTCATGCTCGATCCGAAAATGTGGTCGGAGGCTCCATATGGAGGGTGTGATGCAATTGCAGTCTCCAGAGGCATGTAGAGGCCAAATCGAGCTCCGTTCAGCCTCCCAAATTTTGTAACAATGCGAAGGGCTCTGCATTGACATGATTGGTTGACGGTAGGTGGGGGCGGTACAGCCTGTATAAACACAAACTCACTTCCTTGACACAGCTCTGCACTGCTCCGTGAAGCGCAAGTAGTATGAATGCCCTGACTTCTGCTGAGGCCATATCACCATAAATGCTGCATGGCCAATGCAGATGTCGGATTGACCATGCACCCAGATGCACAATGCACTTCTCTCTCCAGAATGCGCTCTCTCCTGCCAATCTGTGCACATTCATTGTTTCATAACTTCATTGTGTGAATTGTTTACGTTTGATTGTTAGTGTATACAGTTGAAGTCGGAAGTTTCCATACACTTAGGTTGGAGTCATTATAACCCGTTTTTCAACCACTTCACAAATTTCTTGTTAACAAGCTATAGTTTTGGCAAGTCTGTTAGAACATCTACTTTGTGCTGACACAGTCATTTTCCAACATGTTTA